GGTGACAGCCGGAGAAATCGCGCCTCTTGACCGTCTCCCGGGTAAGATTACCCGGTGGGTAACTTTACCCAATGGGTGACGTTCATGAATACGGCTACTGGCTTTGCTTGCAACGGATCTTGCCTACGATATATAAACTATTTTAGAATCCTTGCAACGATTTACGTCATAAGTCGATTCTTCCTCCCCCCTTGGACTGTGCAAATTTAACGCTTCCTAATGCTTTGATTGTGGGACCGCAAAAGACAGGTGCGTATCTACTTTGAGGACCATTGATGGGCGTAGTGAGGTTTGGGTACGAAATCTTTTGTCAGTGACTTTGCGTTCGCACGGTGATTATGCTCAAGTCTATCCGGAGATCGTTTCTCATTTCTTTTGGGCTGCAGAAGATATTGAAGCAAGAGTTGTCAACAGTCAAGCAGGCTTCGCATTTTTCTTTTACATCTTTATTCTAATGTGGGGCGAAAAATGATGGTTTACAAATGCCTACAATCATAAAACCGATAGACGCTGCTACATATCGTTAGCTCAAAGTGTTGTATGTTCCAAAGATTACCTGAAAGCTTTTTATCACCGTGCTGTGTGAGTGTCGTAGAGGGTTTATCAAATGCAGTGTCGCGTGTCAGCAACTTCACCTCCCGCGCGAGACTGTGCATCTCTTCCGCCAACATGCTCTATTATGTCCGATCAATTGGGGTTCCGCCTTTCCCACGCCCGTGGTGGTCAAGTGATCAGAGAGCATGTCCGCGAGGAGATACAGAGTCTAGGCGAAGCGGCGGCGCGAGAGCGCAGATGCTGGTGCACCCGACACTGTATAGGTTAACGCGCAAGGCCAGACTAAAGTGATGCGAAGCGTTTGGTCTGGCAGTTTAGTAAGAGACCTTGTACAGAAGCACTGCCGTTATACGAGAATTCAACTGGAGTTATCATGCGCGTTTCTATTTGTTTTACGGTGCTTATTCTGACTACGCTTTACCTTCTATCGTGATGCTTTGTATATCTCAGGATCAACAGCCCTTGCAACTTTCCTGTCTTTGCATCCAAATGTTTCAACAAATGCACCGATCGCGCATACATTTGAGGAAATGCAGTTTTTTGGAGGTATTAACTACCGTCGTGGAGTAGAATGGTAAAGATTTTGTTTTGTTGTGTCTTGTTTATTTTCGTAAATATTCGTCGCAGTTACATGTATAGAGATCACTAAGGTTGCTCTCTGTCCGTTTACCTGGTCCCAGTACAGCTATCTTTATTTTCAAGGTATGCTCACCACTTCTCCAAGTCGCGCATTGTTTACGAAAAAAGTGCTACATATTTCGATAATGGAAACGCTGCAAGGGATGCCTTTGCACTTATTCCCAACGCCAAAATTATTGTCATTTTGAGTGATCCATCGAGAAGAGCTTATTCATGGTATCAGGTGAGGAGGATCATCCGGTCGTGCTAATCTTTTTCCTATTTTTATTCGTTCACAGCATGTATTGGCTCACAATGACACGGCAGTGCTTTCTGCCAAAAATTTATTGGAGATTCTGGATAGTGATATCATTGAGCTAAAAAGGATCAAACAGCGATGTATATCTGGGGGAAGGTGACTACTTTTATTATATTTTGTCTGATAGATTAATTTGCATTTTAGATATGCACACCATCTGACACGGTGGCTGGAGTTCTTTTCCATGCCAGATTTGATTTTGATTGACGGGGAACGATTGCGCGAGGAGCCGGTCCGAGTGAGATCCTTCTTCTTTATCTGTTCATGTTGTTGTGAGTATTTTTTATGTTGCAGGTTATGATGGAGCTAACGAAAAGCCTCAATCTCCCATATTTTGACTACAGTAGCGCTATACGCTATAGCCCTTCAAAGGGATTTTTCTGCAAGGTGACCAATGTGTCTGTTCGCTTTTTAGTGACAAGATAATATTCAGGTTACCAACGGAAGCTTGAAGTGTCTTGGTCGTGGTAAAGGGCGCATCTATCCACCCATGTCTCCAGAACTGTCAGCACGACTTAATAGGATATTCCTCCAAGATAATATCGCTTTACACAGATTTTTAGTGGCGAACCATTTGCCTGTGCCAAAATGGTTGCAGTCGTTGTTTCCACGGTAGATTCAGTATCAGCGATTAGCATGTCCCGCTAGTTTTGAGACTGCATGCATCATCCGCTGTAGAAGTGATCACAGCTTAAGAGACAGTGACATATTCTGAACCAGCTATCTGGTTTTCATCTGTCTTACCCATCCGCAATCCTGCTACACAATCCTTCGTAATCCTTCGCTATAACATACTGAACAGCGAAAAGTTGTTCAAGCAGCACTTTCTGGTTTTTGTATGATCCTTGAAAATCTCTACAATCCTTTCAAATATTTTTCTCTTTTCTAAAGCATCCCACAATTGTACCAGTCATTTAAGGCTTAAGGCGGAGTTCACGCGATTTCATCGTCGCGATTCATCGCCACAGGTGTTAGACAAGGGGCATACCTCACGCGATTTCTCCATAATCG